GTGAGAGGAGACCTACTTGCATATGACGCTGCCTCTGGACCTGCTGTGGCAGGGTTTGATCTGCAGGGCGCAGGCCACAGCCTTCCACATGTGGGGCTGACACTTCCTGATGTCCAGCACAGGGATGTTCATGAAGGGCATCTTAATTGTGCCATTAGACCACAGCTTGATGTCATTCATGGCACCCTGGTCTGACTGGATGTTACAGCTGCGAAACAGCTCCGTGGGCCTGTGACAGACACAGAAACACAACAGGAAGTCGATGAGCCGTTCAGCGGTGCAGCAGCTCCCACAGAGGGAGCCAGAGATCCTCTCACAGGTTTTCCCTTCTTGACCACATCAGGAATCGTCTGTGGAGTCTGATTGGTGGGTTTAGTCTCCAGTGAGTCAGCTAATTGGTGGTTTGAAATACCGACGGCTCCACAGGAAAGGTTCTGGGTGTGGTTCTTTCACTGTGTGTGTGTGTGGGGGGTTCTGTAACCACAGTCGGTGCCATCATGGCCAACTTAGGTTTGACTTCCAAAGCAAAACTAAATGTGGTAATGCACAGGTCAGGCTGACAGGAGCTTAGTCCATGCAGGAGTGCAGCAGGACAGAGGCAGGCTTTTCCATCGTTTTCTGACAGAGTAAAACAGTGTTTCTGTGTGTGTGTACCTCCCTGTGTGTGTTGTGTACAGAAGCAGCAGTTGAGTGTGTCTGTTTGCTTCATTCCTCTTTTTCTGTCTCCTGTTTCCTTTTCCTGTTTCTCTGCTTTCTTCTCTTATCTTTCATCAGTCTGGCGTTGACCCGCCTGCTCCAGCATAACATCCACAACACAACAATATGAATAAAAAAATAAAACAAAAACATAAACGAGAAAAAAGCCTGCTAGCCCCCCTCTACCACTGCGCCTACACTGGTACATTTATACTTCATGCTGTGAGTAAAAGACAGGCTGCAAAGTGTTGTAGTGCCTTTTCTAGTGCTGTTATGTTTTTAAATAAAAAGAGGTTCAGATACAGAGACATTAAAATGTCTCGCTGCTCTGTGTCAGGTCCACAATGGAGCTTGGGGGTGTTGCACACTCACAATCACCCACAAAAAAAAACAGTTATTGTGGGGGGAAGAGAGTATTGACAGGTGTCCTTCTCCTGCAGATGAAATAGGTAGCCAACTGACATGTCAGGCAGTGTCAGGGCTATCTGACCAACAAGGAGAGTGGTGGGGTGCTGGTGGTCTGGCCTCCACAGTCACCTGACCAGTGGAGATGGTTTGGGATGAGATGGAGCGCACAGTGAAGGCAAAAGGACCAACGAGTGCTCAGCATCTCTGAACTCCTTCCAGACTGTTGGAAACCATTTCAGGAGACGACCTCGTGAAGCTCATGGAGAGAACGCCGAGTGTGAGCAAAGCAGGAATCAAAGCAAAGGCTGGATGTTACAAAGAATCTGAAATATCCAACAAGTTCTGAGTGAATTCATACTTTTGTGTTTGTGTTCATTCATAGTTTTGATGCCTTCAGTGAGAATCTACGATGTAAACAGTCATGAAAATAAAGAAGAACCATTAAGTGAGGAGGTGTGTCTGATCACATGTGTGATACACCAAAACAAGGATCTATGATGTCACTGATACCAGTGAAGAACAAAACCGTAACAGCTAGTTATAGACCCATATACCCAAAATATGTTGATCGTAAAATACTGTCAAAAACTCAGTTTGTTAGAGAAGCTGGTAATTATTCATGAGGTTTCACTCAGAGCAGGTCTGCAGCTGGTAACACGAGGACGGACTGGAAGAGCTGCTGCCGTGTGTGTAGACACCGAGCTGCACCTTAGAATAAAAATGCCTCGTACGTTTTAAATTAAATGAACTGATATTTTAAAAGCAACATATATATTTAATTAATTATTACAAGTTTTAATGAATTCATGACACAACAAATTATTTAATGATAAACTTGATTTATTTTGGCAGTCATGGCCCTCCATAATACTATGGTGGGAGCTCAGACTTGTGCTCAGTTCAGTGAATAGTCTGCTGCCAACCTCACTAAACCGTGATTCATTCTCCCAGCTGCAGAAATGCAATCATGCACGACTTTCAGTCACAAAAGTGAAAACCTTACAGTGATTACTGCCAGCAGCAGAAACAAATGGTGTTGCACTGGTGCAGCCCAC